GTGTGTGTGTGTGTGTGTGTGTGTGTGTGTGTGTGTGTGTGTGTGTGTGACACAGGAGAACCTCAGATATTATTTCTGAAGTGTTATCCACCTCTCTATCTCTCTCTCTCTTTCAACAGGGTCTCTCATTTGCATGAAACTTACCAATCAGGCTAGGTTGATCGGCTAAGGGTCCCTCTATTGCTACCTCTGTAGCACTGAGAGTACATGTGCATGCCTCCATTTCTAGCTTTCGTGGATTCTGAGGGATTGCACTCAGGTAACCATAGTTCTATAGTGTGGTGGTTGGAAAAAAAAATGGCCCCCAAATGGAGTGGCACTATTAAGAGGTGTAGCTTTGTCGAAGTAGGTATGGCCTTGTTGGAGGTAATGTGTCATTGTGGGGGATAGGCTTTGAGGTCTCTCTTGATCAAGCTTGGCTCAAACCAGGTCCTGTTGCCTTCTGGTCAAGATGTGGCCAGCACCACTTCTGCCTCCATGCCACCATGCTCCTGCCATGATGATAACGGACTTAACCTCTGAAATTGTATGCAAGTCACCCTAATTAAGTGTTTTCCTTTTAAGAGTTGCTATAGTCATGGTGTCTCTTCACAGCAATAGAATCATAATTAAGACACATAACAAGCACTTTACTGTTTGAGCAATTTTCTCAGCCCAGAAAACCTGTATTCTCATACCACCGTGTTGTGACAGATAACCTCTGTCTTCCCCTGAGCATTCCCTCTTCTTCTTCTTCTTCTTTTTTTTTATATATTTTCTTATCTCTGCCAGAAGAGAGACACTAAAGTAGGAGGCTGTCGAAATCCTTTCTAGGTTTAATTTCTTTTAATATTTTAAAAGTATTCTTTGTTTTATATGTAGATTTTTCCATTCTTCAGGGCTTCTTTGTAATGTGGCATTGGACCATATTTGGATATCGAATTCTGAGATCAAAGGCTGCAAATTGAGAACGATTTTCTTCTAGCAAAAATAACCTAAATTTAGTTGCAGGGATTTGTATCACTTATTTTTCTATTGCTGTGGCAAAACTCAAGACCAAGGCAACTTATAAAAGAAAGTCCTTAATTGGGCTTACACTTCCAGAGGATTAGAATTCATGATGGCAGAACAAAGACATGGCTGCAGGAACAGTTGAGAACTCACATTTTAATCCACATGTAGGAGGCACAGAGAGAAAGAGATAGACAGACAGAGACAGAGAGACCAAGGGAATGGCAAGTGCCTTTTGAAACCTCAAAGCCTGCCCCCAGTAACACAGTTCCTACAATAAGGCCCCACCTCTTAATCCTTACTAGACAATTCCACCAATTAGAGACCAAATGCTCAGAGAAGAGCCTACAGAGACCATTCTCATTCAAATCACCACAGGTCTAAACAATGGATGAGCCAATTTCCTTAGCTTCAAAACAGAGGATGAGGATGAACAAAGGGCACAGCACTCACCCTGAATGTGTCACTACTTTATAAATGAATACATTGCTCACCAAAGAGTCCAACGGAGGTGAGAGGAAAGAATGACAAAATCAATATAGTCCTATTAAAAATAGTTTACTATAAATGCATTCTAGATGGTGAACTAGTATTTGGTCCTTAATTCATTCATTATTATTCATTTATTCATTCAAACACTTCAGTGTTTACTACATCCTAGGCAGTATATTAGATTCTGAGGAGGCAGCAGCAAAACAAATGCTTGTTCTGTTCATTTCAGTAAGGAGATAAAGCAGATATTAAACCAATAAATTCAGAAATGGTAGTTAAGGCTGCAGAGGTGACACCCCAAAGATTGCAGGAACACATGATATAATAATCACCTGATCTTGTCTGAGCAGAAGGGAAGGTTTCTGAAGAACGGTTTCCCTGTCTCATTCAAATTCCTAAGGAGAGGTCTCAGCAGGAGCAAGAGCAGACAAGTGTGTTAGTCACTTGTCTTTGTGTTTGGACAAAATAACGGACAAAGGCATCTTAAAGAGTAGCTTGTTTTGGCTCACAGTTCAAGGGTACAGCCCATCACAGCAGCAAGGGCTGGGGACAGCTAGTCACATGGCATCTATAGGAAGTAGAAAACAATGAGTGACAGCCATCAGTTCTCATTTTTACTATGTCCACTACTCCAGTCCATAACTATGCTGCCCATATGTAGAGTGGATTTCTAACCTCACTTAACCTAATCTAGGTAATCCCTCAGAGGTGCTCTGAGATGCAGGTCTCCTTGGTAATTCCAGTTTCTGTCATGTTGACATTAACCATCACAGCATGTTTTTTAACAGGCGAGTGTTGCAGTCCAGAGGGTCCAGCTCAGGCAGGTCCTTGTCAATCATGACCATAAAATTTGACATTATTTTAAATTCAGTGGGAATCTTTGAAAATTTTCAAACTAGATAGAGTAACATGATCACCATAGGTATCAAACACATTCCAGTTACATATACAACGAGGGAGAAATGAATGGAAGATGTACACTCTCAGGTAAGTGGACTCAGTTGGAAGTTACTGCTTTGGGTTAGATAAAGATGTTGCATGTACCTTGGATGATAGTATTTGAAGGAAGGAGGAAGCAATGGATGACTGAGGCATAGCTGGGTAGCCGAGTTCAAAGAAAGAAGCAACTGAATGTAGAAATTCATTGAAAGGGATATGGCAGAGTCATTTCAGGCACAAATCAATGAGCAAGTGAGTCATTGATTTAATCCTAGTGGACCTGGGAGGGGTCTGGCTTCAGATCAACTGGGAATCTGAGGGATATCTTTTAAAGTAACACTAATGATTCTTTTGCATATGTCTGCAAATGATAGACATACGTTTACATGTTCACATGTGTAGAGTTACATGCACAAGTACTTGCACACATGGGCGCATGTGCATGTGAAGATTTGAAGCAAATGTTGGGTATATTTCTTGATTATTTTCCACCTTACACACTGAAGCAGCCTTTCTCAGAAAATGCAGCTTGCCATTCAGGTGGTGTGACCAGTTAGCTTGTTCTGGCGATTCCCCTTCTCTGCCTTCTGAGTTCTGGAATTCCAGGAATCTGCTTTGTGCACTAGGCATTTGTGTGAGTTGTGGGGGTTCCAGCTCAAATCCTCGGGCTTGCCTGGCACACAGCACTTTTCCTTTTGAGCCATGGCAGCAGACCTGGATCTAAGATTTTCATAATGCAAAATGCCATGTGATTGTTTTTGGTTTACCAAAGTAATGACTGTTACAACCCTTATGGGCTTATAGTTTATGTTCACTCCTTTGTAATGAAGATGGCCCCCCTCCAGTCTCTGCCTTACCAGTACTTTGCATGGAGAGAAGAATGGGCAGCTGTTGTGGCCAGATTTATCTGTGTCCTAGAAAGACAATAAAGAAATCAGGAGTTGAAGAACAAAGAAAATGACCCCATTCTTTCTTTCTCTTCTGGCTACAAGACAGAGACCATAAGCAGTGAGCGGTCAGTCCTACTTGATGAAGTAATTGCCGGGGTAGGCTGCTGGAGTTGAAAAATGAGACTCCTACATGAAGGTTACCTTTTCATCAGGCCTCAGAGAAATCTTGCCTCCATCTTCTTTTCCTTACATTTTTCTTACAAATTTTCTTGCTAGAATTTTGTCTGATGTATTCAGATCTGAATAGCAGACTATCATTATTATTTTATAACAGGTAATTTACCCTCACTAATATTATCATTATTACTGACTGTTTAGTTTTTTAAGATTTTGTATATATTTTTCTTTTAATTTTTTATTCTATTTAAAAAACTATCTTTTTTCATTTTACATACCGATCCCAGTTCCCACTCCCTCCCCTCCTCTCATTCCCTCCAACTTTCCCCCACCTCCACCCACAACCACTCCTCAGAGAGGGTAAGGCACATTGCTTTGAGGAAGGACCAAGGCCCTCCCTACTATATCTAGGCTGAGCAAGGTACCCATCCAAACAGAATGGGTTTCAAAAGCCAGTACAAGCAGTATGGATAAATCCTGGTGCCATTGCCAGTGGCCCCTCAATCTGCCTCAGCAATTCAACCATCAACCACATTCAGAGGGACTAGTTTGGTCCTATACTGGTTCCTTCACTGTCCGGCTGGAGTTGGTGAGCTCCCATTAGCTCAGGTAAGCTGTTTCAGTGGGTATCCCCATCATGGTCTAAACTTCTTTGCTCATATTCTTACTTCTTGCACTCTTCGTCTGTATTTTGGGAGCTCAGTCCAGTGCTCTATTGTGGCTTTCTGCCTCTGCTTCCATCAGTTGAGGAATGAAAGTTCTATGGTGACATTTAAGATAGTCACTAATCTGACCACAGGGCAAAGCCAGATCCGGAACCCTCTGCACTATTGCTTAGGGTCTTAGCTGGGGTCATCCTTGAGGATTTCTGGGAAATTCTCTAGTGCCAGGCTTCTTGATAGCCCCATAATGGTTCCCTCAATCAAAATATCTCTTTCCTTGCTCTCAGCTCTGTCCTTCCCCTATCTTGGCTATCTAGTTCCCTCAAGTTCTCTTCCTCCATTCTCTTTTCCCCTCCTCCTTTCCTCCCACCCTTCCTTCTCTCCCACCCTCATGCTCCCAATTTTCTCAGGAGATCTTGTCTATTTCCCCTTCTCAGGGAAATCCACATATGTTTCTCTTAGAGTTCTCTTTGTTACTTAGCTTCTCTGGGGTCATGGACTATAGGCTGGTTATCCTTTGCTTTACAGCTACTATCCCTTTATGAGTGAGTACATACCATATTCATCATTTGGGTCTGGGTTACCTGACTCAAGATGTTTTTTTCTAGTTCCATCCATTTGCATGCAAATTTCAAGATGTTATCATTTCTTACCACTGAGTAGTACTTCATTGTGTACCACATTTTCTTTATCCATTCTTTGGTTGAGGGGCATCTAGGTTGTTTCTATGCTCTGGCTCTTATAAATAATGCTACTATGAACATAGCTGAACAAATTTCCTTGTAGTATGATTGAACATCCTTTGGGTATATGCCCAAGAGTGCTATTGCTGTGGATTGATGTAGGTTGAGTCCCAATTTTCTGAGAAACCACCGTATTGATTTCCAGAGTGATTGTACAAGTTTACATTATTACAAGCAATGGAGGAGTGTTCTCCTTACTCTGCATCCTCTCCAGCATAACCTTTCCATCCTGAATGTGCCCAATCTCAGTTGTCTAGTTTTTAAAATTTATTATTTTAGGTGTATGATTATTTTGATTGCCTATAAGTATGTGAACCTTGTGCATTCTTGGTACCTGAGGGGCAAGAAGAGGGAGTTGTATTCCCTGAAACTGGAGTTACAGATGGTTGAGGCATCACATGGGTGCTGAGAACCAAACCTGGGTCTTCTGCAAGAGCATCCAGTATTCTTAACTGCTGAACCATTTCTTCACCCCTATTATTCAAATTCTTTACTGTTTCCTAACAAGCAGTAGATTTATTTGTTATTACCATTTTCATTTATTTTATTTTACTTTCGCTGTGTGTGTGCGTGCACGTGTGCGTGTGTGCTTAAATCTCATTTTGTTCTAGATTTTAAGAGAATAATTGCTTTTTTCTTCATTGTGGTTACTGAAGCATTTACTTAGCATTAAAATAGTTCTGTCTTTGAATGGCTGTATGTCTTGCATGTCATATTCTTCTCTCATATCTGACTTCTTTTACGTCTATGAATAGGCCTGTGGTGTTATAATTATGAGTTAAAGTTTATTGTTTCTTACTAATGTTGTTTGCCTAGAATTTGGTTGCCTAGCACCTGAGTGGTAGAAATCAGAGAGGAATCTGAATCATAGTTCTACAACCTTGCTAGAAAGAGATGTGACGTTATTTTAATTATCCAGTTTCTCTGAATTTAGGTGTCTTTAACAAAAAATTCATCTATTAGCAATTATGTATTAAATGAGATAATGTGTAAAGGGCCCGGACTAGTATCCGCCTTCCTTCTTTCCCCACTATATGTATGCACTGACACATGAGCATCTAACCAGCATCATCAGCTCACATATTCTAGTTTTGTTTTTACATGATTTCTGTTCATAATACTTTTCTATCCAGTGTTCTTTGATATAACACAATATAAAATAGAGAAGCTACTGTCTTTGCTGATTTTTCTGTTGCTGGGATAAAAGGAATAAAGTGTGTCAAGACTGGGCAAGGCGACCCAGTATGGGGAGTAGGGTCCCAGGTTAGGTTTTAAATCACACTTACTCTAGGAACATTTATATATTGATCTGTCATCATTCAGAGCTACAGCTTCATTTGCAGAAATGCATTATGCTATACTTGAGGTGCAATTTTTGACCACGACAACTGAATGACTTAGCCGTTAAGAGCATTGGCTGCTCTTGCAGAAGACCTGACCTGGACTTGATTCCCAGTGTTAAACCTTAACAAACCCAGAAGTTACCTGCTCTCCATACTATCTTGGTCAGAAGATTTGAAGTCATAGCTCCCCTGAAAGGCACAAGAGGCTCTTTGGTTTAAGTTGAAATAAACCTCAGTGTTAACACTGGGGAGGCAGCTCAGTGAGTAAAAACTCTTGTTGAGCAAGGATGTGTTCAAATTCTCATCACTTATATGAAAAGCCATCTATGCCTATAAACCCAGTGGTTTATGGGGACAGAGAGAAGGGGATTGTCAGAGCTTGATGGCCACCACCAGTCTAGCTCCAGGTTCGACGAGAAGCCCTCTCCAGGGAATAGAGTGGAGAGTGACAGGGCCGAACAATTTACATCCCCTGGCCTCTGTGCACACACAGGCACTACATCCACCTACACCACAGACTCACATGTGCAGACGAAATCCTCAGCATTTGCCGATGTTTGTGTTAGGACAGAAAAGAACCCTGGTTGCAGCGCAATGGGTTATAAGGTATCTGTTGGGAAGAAATAAACAGAGCGGTGCTGCCGTTCTGACTTCACTTATCCATTTCACTCATCGTATATATGTATAGAGTGTTACAGCAAACCGTTTACCTTTTTGTATATCCCACACTTTGTCTACAGTGCTTTAAGCATGACCAATGAGTTCATGCTTCAACTGTGTTAAAGTGTATTGGATTATAGTTTAGCAACTACATCGATCCTTTGTTTAATCACCACTAGAAATGAAAAATATGAGGTTATAACATTTCAAAATGGTAGCATTTATTAGCATATGGGAATTTTTTTTTAATTTAAATTCATTTGCAAACCATTGTCAGACACTCCCAAAATCACGGGGCAAGACTGTCTTGAATTCCTGAATGTTTCTAACAACTAGAATAATACACGTCTCTAGAATTAAAGACTAATAAGTTTTGAAACTACTTTGCTGTCAAACAAGTAAAAATATAAGGCAGATTTTTAAATTACCTTTTCCCAAACTCCTCTGTTGGAATAAGAGATGGGCTCCCGTGCAGAGCGTTTGAGTTGGGAATCCACTCTACCACTCTGTGCTTCTGCTACCTTGAAAGAGTTCTTCCTGCTCGCCTAGTTTCCCTCCACGTCCCTCATCTGTGAGCTGGAGATAATGGCAATGCCTGTCCTACTGGGTTAGTAAAACACTTTAGATTATGCCTTACAAGACAGAGTTCAGAGTAGTGCGAGCACACGGGGAAGGCCTGATGAACTCTGGCTCCTGCTTCTGTGGCTGTTTCTATTTCTGTCTTGATTCCGCAGCATGAATGCAAATGTCTATAGATACCCATTAATTAAGACAGCAGTAATGAGCCTCAGAAACAAGACACATGAACTCAAACGTAAATTCATCATTCCTAACACATTTGATTGTTATTTTGAAATTTGGTTTGTGGAAAGAGAGCTCTCTCTCTCTCTCTCTCTCTCTCTGTATGTGTGTGTGTGTGTGTTCGTGTGTGTGGTGATCACTGTAAGACTAGTGAGAAAGACTGGTGAAACCCAAGAGGGTCTCACTCTTTCACTTTGGAGAGTCCAGGAAAGAAGATTTTTTTTTAAAGATGCACCCCAGCCTTCAGTCTTCTTTATACTGCTCACAAAAGACAAAGGCATTCTCAGAAACTTTGAAGTTTTCAAGCAAGAAAATTGTGAGAACCATATCTGCTCTGAAAATAATGCAGAGGTCTTGGGGGTTGTGACCTTTGACAGTGGATCACACCAGCCTTGCTTTTTGCTTTATCGCAAGCACCAAGCACATAGTAGGTGCAGTGTCAGCAACTGATAAAGCAACTGAATGAGTATTTCGGAGACTTATCGCCGGCGCAGCCTATAAAAGAAAAGTAGGTCATCTCCCATGCGCCTCTGAAGTTTAAGTACAATCATAGTACATTTCCAGGGAAGCCGGGGTTCACACCAGAGTACTCGAAATGCTAGTGAACTTCTGCGTGTTTCTCAGTTCCATCTCAGTACGTTATCTAAAGGAAGCAAAAATACTTTGACAAAGAACCCTCAGCCTATTTCTTCATCATAACTCAGTCTTTGGTGCCAACAATGATATATTTCTACTTATTAAACCTGTTAAATAACTCTAAAGATTTTTATTTGGCTTAGGAACACAAACGTGAGTTATATTCCAGATAAATTGTATTCCAAGATTTAGCTGAGAAAACAACTAACAGAAAAAAATAGAACCAGGTTAAGCCTAGCAGTGTATTTAGTTAACTTGCTGGCAAAAAGAACATTCAGAGGTAAGACCTGGTTTATGCCTCGCTTTTCTGTTCACTGTTTCAAGTCTTAACAGTCATTAACAATATCAATATTTTGCATGGTGCCTCCTGCTTTTTCATTTTTCTTTCCTTTCTCGGTCTCCTGGCATGAGAATGGTATAAGACAAAAACCTCCATCGCAGACCATCAGGTAATAGTGTGTTAAAGCGCTGCTTGAGTCGTGGGAGAGTTAAGGGCAGTTATTAGAATTTACCTCATCTATAATAGAGGGTAATGTCACTTTAAGACATGTGAGACTTTAGAGAGGAGGGGTGTATTGAAACAGACTCCCGCTCCTCAAAGGAGGGACAGCAGCCCTGCTCTTACATTTCGCTGCCTAACTCTGTCCTGAATGTGCCCGAGTGGGGATGGTCTTTCAGTGGCTATAAACTGCTTCTCATCAGGGAACTACATTAGCTCACCATCACTTCAAAGGTCTCGTCAGACAGAGGTGACGCCAGGAGAAGATTTAAAGGTGAAAATGACAAGGTTTCCACCTCTCAAACCCTGGCTCCTTCTCTGACAATACAGCTAAGGAACCCAGCGTCCTCTTAGCTGTGGAAATAGGATCGGAAGAGGAAAGCCTTTTTTTTTTTTTCTCTCTTTAATTCTTGATAAAGAACTGCTGGGAAGTGCTTGTCTTTGAATATCACAGAATTGTGGCACAGATGGATTTTAAAAAGTGTTAGCTCTTTCCAATGAACACTAGGAGAGTGCCCTGCTCTTGGCTGGATTTTTCAGGTAAGTAAGCCTCTGCAAAGATTTAAGATTCAGAAAGCAGATTTGAAGCATATTCAGAGAAGTACGCAAGGCTAGAGGCATTATTTGGGGGAAAACACTTACTGCCGCTGAGCGGAGCAGAGCTCTCTCGGAGAGTGAGTGAGCAGGAGCAGAGATATTGAGGAGCCTGAGAAGTAATGTTGAGAATTAAAGAAAGTTAACAGGGGAAAAAGAAAGAAAAAGGGAAGTGCCGCGATTGTCAAATCCGAGCATCTTCCTGCATGCTGAGGTCTATGTGGGTTAAAAATGAGCAAGAGACAGCAGAGCTCTGAAAGACTGTTAAGTTCTGATGATCGCCGGATTTTTCCTAAGTTAAATTTCCAGTACATTTTAACAGCGATTGACAACGCAGCAAATGCATGCCGGGTCACCTTTGTTTTGTCTTCCTGTAATTTTCAGGCTATTCCGAAAGACTCTAAAATTGCATTCATTTGGGGATTCACAGAAGGGGAGATGCTATTTATCTGGGCTGATGAGAATGAATCTATGCTATTCTGCTAGCACAGCAAAGCATGCTGTATACGAAAGTAAACACTGGGCCACCAAACTAGAAACTAATTAGAAAGTGAGAGGTCCATCTGAGTCACTGCCTGGGGCATTGATGGCTTCGTGGGGTTGGAAAGAATGCTTCCCCACTTAGCACTTAATTACAACCCTCATGTTTATCTATTGTTATCCTCAAAGCCCTTCTCAAACACTCCACCTCTCTGAAACCTGTGAATTAGCAAGAATTATGCACATACATGTATTTAATGTTTATTTTTGCTGAACACCACCGGTTTAGAAAGAGTACCAATTTCCACAGATAAGGAAGGCAACCTGGGAGGTCACAGCAGGGTTTCAATATATAGTGGAATTTCTTGAAGGGTGTCATTTGAAAGAGGGAAAAAGGAAATCACAGCCTTGACTGCATAGCCCTCTTTGAGCTCTCTAAGAGAAAGGTATGTTGCTAACTGAATTTTTGTACAGGAGATGCCTCCTATCACTGGCTGACTAAGGAAGATGCTTCAAGTTTGATTAATTTGGCAATATGAGATGCAGCATAAGGTGTTGTTTGGGAAATTGGACAATATGTAGCGCCGTTGAGCTTCTGTAGCTCCTGAGATGCTCATAGGTGCGGATAAGACTCTCAAAGTTTCAGCGCCTGAGAAAAGGTATATGCTCACCCATAAATACACACACCACCTGTATATGCATATTCATCAATGCTCCCGCAAATGCCACAATGGGATCTTAGGAGGCAAAACAATACTGTAAATTATGGGCTTGCTGTAGGATAGACGCATAGAGCTTGCATCCGAAACTCATTCTGGCTGCAAACACGGTTCCTTCTGATTCCCAGTCCAGTCAGAAAGCTGAGTTCTATTGGGAGATTACAACATGCCTCTGAGAAATGATTGCTTAGTTTAGAGGACAGCATTGCGATTAAAAATTCATGACTGTAGAATTAAAGGAAAAAAAAAAGAGCCCACTCTTTCTCTTTCAGGCTTATGTCAGACTTGCAATGAAGTTAGAAGGAGCAAGTCTGCAGCTTCCGAATGTCTGGGAAAAGTAGTTTACAGCTCTTTGTGTAAAACCGGGTGTTTTCATGGGCATGCAATGTTTTCATCTGCCTGATTGACGGTCAAAAACTTTAATTTTGTGTTTCGGGCAATCATTGACCTTTTACTTTCCAGATGTTAAGGGACATATTTATGAGCTTCTGGAAAGGGTCTTCAATCCAATCCCTGGCATGACCTCTGCTGGAACGTTCCTTCTCGGCTGCCAAGGAGCCAAAGAACATTACGTCTGATATCTCCCTTCCCTCCTGAGTGGGACGTACTCCGCTGGGGGCTGCAAGTCAGGGGTAACCTGTTCTCGTCTCATGTCCTCTCCAGAGAATGGCAATGGTGTCTGCGATGTCCTGGGTCCTGTACTTGTGGATAAGTGCTTGCGCCATGCTGCTCTGCCATGGATCCCTCCAGCACACCTTCCAGCAGCATCACCTGCACAGACCAGGTAGTGTGTGTGTGTGTATGGGGCAGGGGTTCTGGGAGGGGGCTTGCTCCAGAGCAGACTCCTCCAGGCTCATTGTGGTCTCTTCAACAGATGGCGGAATGCAAGTGACAGAAATTGCTATAGTGTGGGCAGTTTGCCTTTGAATTCTAAGACACGTTGTAGGCTGGATGCTCTGGGGGATGGAGAGTACACCAAAAATGTCTTGGAGGTATTTCTGTTAATTTTTCAGAAAAGGTGGGTTTCTTTAAAGGAGTCGCCCCCCCCCCTCCCGCACCCCCACTAGCGTCTTCCACGCACCTTGTTAGCAAAATATTCTACAAAGAGTGGAGTAACTTTGAAGACTGGGGAATTTAGAGAGGAGACCTGTATTTCTTGGGTTGAGTGTAGATACCGAGTGTAGATGCTGTCATTTCTGTCTGTGGCTAGGGACTCCAGGGATGTGTTAATGACCAGACTAACTTTAAAAGTTGTCAATGAAAAAGAAAATGAAACAGTGACTTACTATGTCGTGTCTGGTTTAATTTGCATCCAGTCTTCTCTCCTTTCCTTCCTTCTCTTGGTTCCTCCAGTATGCTCGGCGCCCCCACCCCTTTTTACCTCCCTCTGTTGGTAGTTTCAGGAACAAGTTCGCTCTGCCATGTGCTCTGAAAATTTTCCTTTATTGATTTCCTTTTTCTTTTAGTTCCGGGAGCAGTTTGCTTTCTTTGGCTTCTAACTCTTCTCTTTCTCCACTCTTCAATCATGATTTTCCTTTCTTTGCTGCTCCAGCTTTCTCATACAAATCCACCCCCAGTTCAATTGTCTTTACAGTCCCTAGTTGGTTCTCAGAAAGGTGTCCTTCGGTCCTTGTCACCACCACCCTTACCCCCCCCCCCCCGACCCCCGTAGCTGTGTTTAGCCTTTGTGTCCTTTCGGCCACACCCCCTATCTTCACCGTCCTTGGGAGCCCCCGCGAATGGTCAAGTTCACCATGCAGGGACCAGTTGCTGATCCAAGTTCCCGCTCCTCATTTCTGGAGCGCGGCCGCCCTCCCTCCTGGACCTGCTTGTATCCTTCCCTGGCCTCCTGCCATCCACAGGCTTCTCAGTGCAGCAGGTCCTGGTCCGGAGTCTGCATCGCTGTCTTTCCTGGCTCCGCAGCCTTGACTGTGATCCTGCACTCTTATTTTGGCCTTTTCCAGTTCCTCTCCCGGTGCCTTTTCCTGTCTCCCGGGGTGGGATTCAGCTTCCAGGCTGGGGCAGACTAGATGGAGCAGGGAGGGTGCATGCCAGCGCACGCCTGCTGGGTTTGCAGCCCTCAGCTGCAGAGGAGGGCTGGGGGCGGAGGAGGCCAGCTGTCCCGGGTCCCAGCCGCCTTTCTTCCTTCCATAAGCCAGGTCAGCGAGCGAGCGCGAGCGAGGGGGCGCTGGTGCCCCTGCGGGTGGGCATGGAAACCACACTGCTGGCTGCTGCCGCTGGTGCTTTCCTTGCCTGTGTTTACTGTGTCCTGTGTGCAGACCCTGGCACAGGAAGTGCCAGATTCCTGCCAGAAGCCTCAGTGCCAACATGGAGGAAGCACAAACGTGGATTTGGGGATCCCTGAGCTACCTCCAACCACTTAATCGCCAATCTGTTCTGGCAAGAGAAGTCCTCGGCTTGTTATATAGTCATACAAATAACCTGGGAAATGCGGTTTCTCTGTAATACTCAACGAGATAAAAGAACCATCCATCCCGAAAGTGCCAGAGAATGTGTTCAGGGTTAATTTAGCTTAACCACTGCGTAAGTGAATATAGTTTACCCCTTTCGTCCAGAGAACATAAGTGGGAGTTTGGAGGTACTGGGTGATAGTCTGAAACCACCCAAGGAATGGTTGCTGATGGAGGTTATGGCCATGTGAATTTACCACAAGAGGGGGAAATGTCCCCTAGTACACAAATTGTCTATACCAGGTACCTTTAGGAGCATTAGATATAATCTATGAAAACCTTAAGGTCAGATCAGTGCACACACCCATTTAAAATGTAAGCCAGTTCTTGAAGGTAGCTGAAGCAGGTGGCCAGTGGTGGGTGACAGGGACTAGTGGTGGGGCAAGTCTCTGCCACTTAACTTTCCTGACATGAACTTGGATAAGTGACTTTCCAAATCTGAGCAAATTTTCCCATCAGGGGTGGGCGGGGAAGGGAAGGAATGACTTCTTAGGAAGTGGCAAGTGCTGGGTATATTGTGAATTTCCTATAAAGATCAAGGACAGTTGCGTCCTGTTTAAGGGACTGCAGCCACCTACAAGTCAAGGATATTGAGTGAGTCAAATTTTCCTGTTTACACTTCTAACAGATCCATTGGTCAGGACAAAGTGTGTTGTCTTTGTTGTTTTCTGACCCAAGTGATACATGGATAGGACCTGACCGTGATTGCAGCCTCTCTTACTTTATGCTGTGTGTGCAGTCATTAAACAAAAAGAGGCTCATATAATTTGTAGTGAACTCTCATGGAGAGCATGTCTTTTCGCTTCTGGGAACTGGGGCTATTATGTGTAACAACTGTGTATCATCGTAGGTCTTATTAAAATACCATATTTTAAAACTTGATTCTGACTGACATTCAACTCACTGCTGGTGTTCTTCCTCATCTACCACGCAGCTTGCTCACTATCAGTCAATCTGTGTTGAAACTATACCTTAAATATCTCCAGGAGTTTGTTCCCAACAACTCAGCCCCCGTGGGCTCACTCTCTGAGCCCTATCCCAGTCTTATTGTAGAAAAGGAAGAACTACAAATGCTTCGTTCAAATGCAGAAGGATTAGAATAATGTTGATTTGGAAGTCCGATGGGTCTGTGTAATGTGCCTTTTTAACTTTCTTAGGATTGCTACAATAGCTGCAGAGATTAAAGCAATAGATCTTGGTCATAGCAGTCTTCCAAATTATTTCAGTCACTCTTTAATGTGTGTGTGTGTGTGTGTGTGTGTGTGTGTGTGTGTGTGTGTGTGTGTGTGTTTTGGTTTTGATTTTAAGAGCAAAAATGTGCTTCTTTTTTTTCTCCCTCTCAGATAAGTGTTGTGGCATTTTTCCTTTGTGGGTCTTAAATCTTCGGGGACACTAATGAAATGTGTGTGAAAACAAAACAAACAAAAAATCCCAGGGCCGGTTATCTGTGACAATCTGCCCCTCACTGAGCAAATAAATAAATAAATAGTTGGATAAATGAGCAAAAAAAGAAAACAGTGTAATTTCATTCTCTCAAATCAGTGAAAATAAGTGACGTGATGAGAAAAAATGAGACAGCAGCGGACCCCAGCCTTGCTACATTTGCCTAAGCTTGAAAAATCACCTCCTTCACAAGGCAGAGCAGAGCAGCGTTCTTGGCATGCATGCCAAGGATGTGGAAATGTGCAAAACGACAAACCTTTCACTAGGAGTGTGTGTGTATGTATGTATGTATGTATGTATGTATGTATGTGAGAGGTGGACGGCTCTACAGCCACCCTCACCTGCTTAGGAATGGCATCCACTCCCCCATCAGGCCAGTCCCTCACAGGCAGCTTCCCCATCCCCTCCACAGCAAGATTGATGGTGTTCCGATTGCAAGCAGGCAATTTCAGTCTCTCAAGAAATAATCTACTACACTGACAGATGAGAGGAATTTGACAGACGCTCCCCTTGCTGAGATTGTGCCTCACCTGGATGGCACCAGCCAGCCAGGGCCCGTTAGGGGAAATGGTTAGAGATTTGGGCCAATTTCTGCTGTCATAACATGAAATTGGGACAGTGTTTTTGTAAGGCCACGCATTTGTGATCTGCCTCCTCAATGGAGTGGGTTTGTGCACAAACAGAATGTGAATATGTTAACTAGAAAACGGACTGATTTTAATGTATTCGCCTGCAGCCCCTAAGTACTTTCTATTTTTCATATTTATAGTATGAAGATTGCACCATTTATTTTCACTTACTCACTAGTTAAAGATTAAAGCAGTCAATCAAATGAAACTGAAATTTAAAATTACATAAGTGAATAAAATGTGCTATAGATTAACAGATTCATAATTTCAGTAATTGAAATATTGGAATAATTTTTATTTGGGGGAATGATGTAGGAAGTTACTATGACAACTTGAAAAATATTTGTGCCCCCTCCTAATATGAAGCCTTTGGAAGGACAGTTAATTTAAAAGCAAAGCAAAACAAAACAAAACCCCAGACTCAACAATGAAAACTCAGATGCAGCATCTCTTTGGTTTCCAGTAATTAGGATAGCCTAAGTTCTTCACACTCAACAGTGTGTATGAGGGAGAAAAAAGATAAATGGTCTGCCAAATGTAGCCTTCCAGTTTGAGATTATGCTTGCCCCGGGTACAGATATATGAATTATGATGACAATGTTAATGTTTCTTTTATTTAGGGTATGTGGGTGGAAGTGTGTGTGTGTGTGTGTGTGTGTGTGTGTGTGTGTGTGTCTTTGAAACAATAAAATAAGAGTCTTCTCAAAATTCTTTAGAAAGAAAAAATGGTCCCTGGGATTCTTCAGTAAAATAAAACTATGTATCTATGAATTACACGAGACACAAGTTATTAGTAAACAATGAATCATTTGTTCTTGAGTCAACGTGATTTCATTGACTTAGAATGATACATAAAAGCTTGCTCTGCATAGAACATCTATGTAATTCATACTTGACAAGATTTAAGACTGTATTAAGCAGACTGTGTATGTTAGAAGTTCTCATTTATGACTTTATTATATAGTGAACATCAGCATCCATTTTAACATGAAGATTTGGGGTAAATCATTAAAAATTTGTACGAACCTTACATAATTTTTTACCCTACCATTCAAAACTACATTTTAGAAAACTGCGTGGAGCATATGTTTCAGATGCCAAGGTGCTTTTCCAAAAACGGTTGTGTTGTGGGTTTAGTCTGTAAAAACTCGTGGGTACAACCGTGGCCGCACATTTTCCTTTCAGGAATGCCTACTAGCTCGAAGCTGCTAAGTATAGTGGATTGGCGTTAGGATTGGAGCAGACAGGCAGTTATTTGGTGTAAGCTGGTGCTAGTGATAATGCATTGATCATCTGATGGATGATATTGACCTCCTCCAAGAGGCAGAACACAGCTATGGACATCAAATAAAACCCCCAAATATCAGGGCCGAGTAGAGATATAAGTACATATTTCTTGCCACTGCCCTGAAATTGGAGCAGAACGGTGAAAATACCATGATTTGAGCACGGGACTATGCAATTAATAGTTAAGGATAATAGATGTTACACTACACTGCAAACCAAAGTATTTAGGAATAGCATAAATAAGCATTAATTACCAATCATTAATTTCTTAAGCATCATTGCAGATGATGATCTGAACTTTTAACTTGAAACTTGGCAGAACGTTTTAATTTGAGTACTCTGAAGCTGGTGAACCTCTTTCCCACAGCATTATATCCCTTAAAATGTGGTATCTCTTGAAACGTGAAATGTGTGAATTTGATACATTTTTCCACTCCTAGATGCTTACCTCCATGAAAAATTCTGGACATGTGTGAAAAGATTTATGTTGAGGTATAGTTCTTGCAGCAATGGTTCTAATGGTGACAACAGAGTTTCAACTCCATCAAAATGGGATTGATAAAATAAATTATGACACACATCTACCCAATGGGACTCAGTGTGGGCCGTTACAAAGGATGGGTTAGTTTTATGTGTGCTCATGTGGAAAAATCCCTAAGACATTGATGAATGAAGAAAACAAGGAGCAAAATGCTATTTCAAAACAATTCAAAGAAATGCAAAAAAAATCAAAAGAGTATGAACATCATGCAGTACTAGTGAAATCTGAAGAAAATTCTTAAATGATTTAAGAAAGTTTAATTTTTTAATTTGTATATATTAATATTAGTTATAAATACTAATGGATTTTGCTATACATTTCCATGTCTGTATATAATGATTTTGTTTATATCCAACACCCTATTCTGATCCATTGTCCACAAACTCTCCTTTATCTTTATCTTATCAATTGGTTGCCCTTTTACTTTGATGTCCTTTTTTTTTAAGACTTAGGTTTTTCCAGTTGTGTGTATTGTGTATCTATGGGTGTGTATGTGCACATAATCAGTGCCCGAGGAGGCCAGAGGTGTTGAATGCCCTGGAGCTGGAGTTACAGGTGTTTGTGAGCTGTTGTTCATTGTGGGTGCTGGGAAACAAACTCTGCTGCTCTTGCAAGAGCAGTGCATTCTCTTAACTACCGAGCATTCTCTGCAGACCTATTAGGACAATTTTTATGGATGTGTGAACTAATGAGTTTAATAAGGATGCTTACAGGAATGGGGGTGGTATTTACCTGAACGTGGACAACTTACCAGTG